CATATGATGGGGCCATGTGTTTATCACCAATGTTTACCAGGAAACTTCAAACTCTTGCAGACTATTTTTACCAGATCATAATCTTAATCTGTCTCATTCATCCACCAGATGCTTATTTCGGGAGGTGAAGAAATCGCAGTGGATGCTAGACGAGGCCTGGCCTACCTCCGACTTTCAGTGGAAGCCAATAATCCAGTTGGGCAGACTCTGCTTGGGATCGCATATCTACGTGGGCGGGCCGGCCTGACTCAAGATACTATGACTGCACTTGAACTTTTTTTGAAAGCCGCTGACCAAGGCTGGTCTGAAGCCCAGCTCCATCTCGGTCTACTATTTCTCGGTACACATTATTGTTAATTTTATAGCAAAATATTAAGTATATTTTGTTCATATCCTCACCAAACTTTTTATTTTTATTATGAATGAGGCATTAAATGGAATCCGTGTGTTCAGACATGAATCTCATTTGTGAATGAAGATATGAAAACAAAGATGGTGTGGCCATCGGTGTGGTCGCAGTTTCTTTTCGATGTATAGAAGCGGGTTGACCTAGCCTTTGCAACTTACTCCTTTTTTAAGGGGACTTGGTTGGATGCACTTTATCCGAAGTCTTCTGATATAATGGTTATCATAATTCCCAGCGTTAGACCCTGGACTTGGTACATTCTCAGACGTTTAGCCGGCATCGTAGTCGACATCATCAGTGAGTCTTACCATTATAAGCACCAAGCTTAAACTCGTCAAAGAGACATGTGAATTAAATCCCTTAATCAACTTTGCCGAAACGGTTGTGCTATCACTCCTCTTTCTATCCTGGCCTATTTGCTCTGTATCTTCTTATTCCACTCCCGCCCTGTCAACTCCGGACTTGTTTACATTCCACTCGTCAAAAGGTGTGCCCTTTTTGAAAAGTTCAGTGTGGAGTCATTATACCTGCTGTTCACCTTGCGCCCTTTTTTCGATTGGCTAATCTAGCTCGGGCCTTTATCCGGATCTCTCCAGGCGCTATTTCTCGAGTCGTTAGAAGCACGTACATTCCCGTCTAATCGAGATGAGTGCCTTGTTTCTGATTCCCGTCCTTGCATATATTAGGCATTGCTTGCACGGGTCATCTGCTTGATCAAACCCATGTAACCTGAGTAAATTGTGGACGCATATCCATGGTCGCCTGCTATATCTCGAGTGGATTTCTGGTATATTTTTGACCATAATGCCGAATTTCTGTGACGGTTGTGATTATCCTTCTCCCCAGTTTGTTAACCGCCACACCACCAAAGTTATACTGGTTTCTTCGAGCAGACTGCAATAATTAAGAACGTCCTCGCTTGATTTCCGAAATTTCCTACTCCCTTCTAGCGATTCCTTCTTCTCAACTTAACGAAAGATCCTTGATCCAGGCGTGTCCTTTTGCTGGTATTGTCGTATCCTTATTATACCTAAGTTTGCTTAAGCAGTATGCAAAGTTGTCATTAACTCTGCCTTCCTCCAATCTCTTGTTCATTAGATTTTTTCTCCAAGGATGTCAACAGCCTCCCTAATCTTTTGTTTCCTTGTTTTTTCATCGTATTAGGCCCTTCTTTCTGCTGTCTTCCAATTGATCTCGTGTCCAGTCCGTGCGATGTGTTCCGTCAATTCTGATCTTTCGGAATCCATTTTCCTGCAGAACCTTTGATTTTCTTTGATACATTGCTGATTTTTATCCCTTTTTCGCAAATATATTTCTATTCTCAGGCGCCGCATGCTATGCGGTAAACTCCCAAACAATCAAGTTTGTCCACCCTTTCATGTATGTGTAGACTTATGAAAAGTGTTGTTTTTTCCTCCGTGGTCACCTGGATATTCCATTTCCATAGTATTGGTCGTAGTTTTTTAATTAGTTCGCAGGAAGGTAGGCATATCCACTTTGCAATTCTTTTTCCATCCTTACTGTCCTTTGATAGACCTCATTCTGTCATTGGCTTTTCACGGCCCGTATGTTTTTTATGCATTGCTTTGCTTGGGTAACCGTTGCCGAGGGATATCCGAGTCAATTTTCCCAATTCTTCATCCAAGAATTCCACATCCGTTAATCGTATGTTTCTGATGATCCTGCTTCTCATTCCTATCTTTAGTCTACAGTTGTCATGGGACTGGAAATTGAGTATTATCCCGGCATCTTACTTCTTTCTGAACAATTTCCTTTTGAGCGTCCCATTAGAGCCAATCACTTAAATATATAGGAAAGTTAACCGCTCATTTTCCTATACTTCCATCGTGAATATGACTTTTTCATCAATATCGTTTATAAACTTCAGAAAATCGTCCAGCTTTTCTCTTCCATCTGATCTAAGTGCGAAGTAATCGTCTAGGTACCTCATTTCGAAGATATGAAGACCAAGATGGTGTGGCCTTTTGTGTAATCACAGTCTCCTTTCTTTGTATAGAAGTTGTTTCACCTTGTTTTCACAACTTGGTCATAATGGTAGGAAGACTTATAGAAACGCACCTTGTTCTGAGTCCATTGTATGCATAATTATTTCCAAAGACGGACCTTGGACGTGGTACATTCCCAGACGTTTCGCCGGCATCATAGTCGGCATCGTCAGTGAGTTTTACCATTCTTAGCACTATATTACAACTCGTTAAAGAGACAAGTGAGGCCAATCCTC